TTATACCATCAGGGAATTTTTCTTCAAATTCAGCTGAAGTTTTTCCATTCTTAATTTCATGTCATTGCTCTTAGTTATATCCCCTTGTACCAGGCTAAATAATAATTCTCTTTCCTTGGAGACTCCTAATATGTACTTTTCTAGTTGTCACTTAACCATACTATTCATATTTAGCTGTAATCTGTCCTCATAAATCAGTTCTTCCATTGCCTTAATCATTATTATTGCTTTTCTAAGAACTCTCTAATTTTCAAACATATACATTTCTCAGATGCCCCAGATGAAATCAGCATTCACACAAATATTCTATCCCGACAGACTTAGTAGCAGCCTTCCCAGACAACAGGATCCTTGGCTAAGTGGTATCAGTCAGCTGGGTCAAATCAGCCCACTTCATCATGTCAAACTCAAGACAGTCTAAATAGAGTTTTCCATGTGACTTACTAGCATGCAAGGTTTATTTTATTTTAATTTCATGAGGTTTATAAGCTGACTTTTTGATTACTGTCCATATTTACATTCTTCATATTTTCATGTCCTTTTTCACCACCACCTATCAAGTCAGTCAGCCGCAACCGGCGCTAACATGGGATTGTACTCATCCTTAAGAACATTTAGGAAACATGTTGAATAAAAGCAGGCCTTGCACCTTGCCCACAGCTAAATTCCTTGTCATTTACCAATTCCCATTGTTTACAACCCTTTAGCCAATCCCCTATTCTTTTAATTTGCATTTTGCTCACATGCTAGCCAATATAAATGGATTTTATGAGTAAGATGGGTCATGATACTGCTTTCTAAAATGAAGATATGTTGTTTCAGTGCACATCGATTTTTTTATTGTGAAGCCTTCTTGTACTAAGTTTGTAATTCTGTTTAAATCCTTTTTAAGCTTGCTTGGCGTTCTTTATCCGACATAAACAAATAGGTTACTTTGCCTGCTTTATTGTTGTTTTCCTGATATGTACAGATGTTCCTTCTCTTACCATTTGTTCCGTTTGTTTAGGAGAAGTTGAAGATGCTGTCATAGTCATTTTTTTTTAACCTTTTGTAGTGATCACTGGAACCATTTCTTTTTTTTTTTAAGTTCCTTAGAATTGCCTCAGTATTTTGAATTTCTTTCAGGAAGAAAGTTGATTAGTTTTCTTAATAATTTAGAATCTCTGAGGTTTGAAACTGTGATCTGTATATGCCCAGTTTTTTTTTTTTTTTTTTTAAATAAAGGTTAATTTCTTATTTTATTCATGTATATGTAGGAGTTTAGCACCATGGTTTGTGTTTTATCTGTCTGTGTCTATCTATCTATATATATATCTATATATAATATCTATATATTAGTCATCTATTTACTAAGGAGTCCTTGGGTGGTACAGGTGGTTGAATGAGTACTAGCTCAAAGATTGACAGTTTGAACCAACCCAGAGGCACACTAGGAGGCAGGCCTGTGATCTGATTCTAAAAGGTCACAGCCTTGAAAACTCAATGGAGCAGTTATGCTCTACACGCATGAGGTCAACCATGACAGCATTTATTACTTAAGGGGCTTCTTATGTATATTTGGGTAATTTTTCTCAAAGTATTTGAAATCAAAATAGATATTTAAAGAGATTTATGAAACAAGCTCAGAAGCATCCAAAATAAGCTTTCTGATTCTGGAACGTGCACAGCATACTACAGTATGACAGCCAAAGACTTTGTCTGCAGCTTACAGTCGAATCCCCACTGTTCCTTAGTGTTGCTCATCAGCCCTTGACATTAGATCTCATTTCTACCCTCTCCCTGTCTTCATAGTGACAGTTCTGATCCCTCTGCTCACTTCTTAAACCCCATTTCTGCCTCTACTCACATAAGTTGAAACAGATGACCTGGCCTAATGCTTTAGTGACACAACTCCTCAGATTCCGCACATCGTCTAAAACTGTTTCTTCAGCTTGGCTTTTCTCTCCTTCTTCCCTGATCTTTGCAAGAAAACTAAGGTTGTTCCCTTTTACAAGGCCTCATTTTCCCCCATGACAAGAATCCCCATTATCATCCATGCCATACAGTTGTTCTATTTTCATCTTGGAAATATTTCTTCAATATCTTGTTCTCTTCCCCAGCAAGTCCCTCCAAGAGTTCCCTATGTCACTTGCCCAGCTTTAAAAAAAAAAAAAAAATCAGCTTCACACACACACACACACACACACATATGCCATAACCTCCTGAAATCTGGTTTCTTTTAGCACCACTCCATAAGAGCTGCCTTAAGGAGGAGCCAGTGACATGCTAGATGGTAAAACCAAAAGCTGCTTGTTTTTGGTGCTGCCCCACCTCCGGAGGATTTTACACCCTTTTCACATATTCTTTTAGAGCTCTTGGTTCATTTTGGTAGTGTGGTGTTGCTCTCTCGGATCCTTTTCTACTCTTCCAAATGTTCCTTCTTGCTCTTCTTCCATGGTTCTTCTTTCTCGCCTACCTCTTAAATGCACATATTCTCCATGCTTTCACTTACTGCACCATCTAAGGGAGGGAGCCAAGTATCTGGATGAGCCTCAGGGACTGACCCAAGACCTCAGTGGTCTGGCCTCCCTCTACCTCTCCAGACCTCAGATCCTCAGATCTCCATCCCAGCCTATTTGAGTTGCATGTTATTTCATGAAAATTCCAAGTTTCATACCCCTTTTGCTCTGATCACACTGTTTTCTCCATTCAGAACTTCCCCCTGCCTGCCTTTCAAAAACCTTCAAGTAAAACCCTCTATAAGCCTTTATTGATGCCTCAGGTTAGAAGTACTCTCTTGCTCTCTGCAGTTTTGATAGTGGGAAGGTCCAGTTTTTATCTAGTAGGTATCAACGAATGTCAGTTGGCTATTCACATGTCCATCTCCCACTCTTTCTGTTCTAAGCACTAATGGTTTACCTCCCCAATATACTTATATAGCCTCTGTTTCATATGCATGACTCAGGTTTCAGGAATTTTATTTTTCAAACTACATTTTATCTGGCTCTTTCTATCAATAAATGACAGGTACTGAATTCTCTATGGTAATATTTTATGAGAAGACAAGGAGGAAATGATATATAAAAAAGGCGCAGGAATAGACTTCAAGAAATTTAAAAAGGACAACTTAATTTAAAAAATGTGTACAGGTGACCAGGAATGTAGATATTCATGTGAGCAGAAATGGCTGGTGTTAATCAAAGTTTCAAACATTTCTGTAGGTTAAAGAATAAGTGTGGCCTTAAAGTAAGCACTGGCTCATGTGGTGACTGGAAAACACAAAATGGAAATCCAGAAAGATGGGTTAAGGAAGAGTGATAAACGATTGTTCTAGTCTTATTTTTTATGGTATGTGTTCCTTTGTCTAGAAATAACTATTGCAAAAAGGAAGGGAGGTTTGGGCCGTGAGTCTCTAACTTGGTAAAGGTTTTTAAAGTCCATAAAGAGGCTCTGGTGGTGTGCAGTGCCCAAGGCATTTGACTGCTAACCACATGGTTTGTAGTTCAAACCCATCAGCCACTCTGCAGAAGGAAGATGAGCAGTCTACTTCCATAAAGATTTATGGCCTTGGAAACCCAGTGGGAGTCACTATGAGTCAGAATCAACTCGATGGCAGTGAGTTTGGTTTGGTTTTAGGTATACAAGTTTTATACCCACAGAAACTCTTTGGAAACCAACTCAAAGAGAGCCTTGTCTAATTCCAAACTTTTGTACTTTCTCTAGATGACAACTACTTTCTGTGATTTTTTTCCTAGAATTTTTGTTACATCTTCATTTTATTTGTTCTCAGTATTATGCATCATCATCTTGCCCCTACAGAAAAGTAGAGGACAAATTTAAAATATTATTTTCAGTAAAACTGTATTGCATTCCCTTTTGTAACAGATTCATGCCCAAGCACAAAACAGCCCATTTAAAGAAGATGCTTAAAGGAACCGGCAGCGCTGTGCCTTCCATGGCTCTTTCTTCACAACAGGAGCAGAGAGGTTTTGAGAATGTGTTGAAGCATTTTACATCAGGATCTGGACTCTGTGATGCACTTTCTGGCCTTACAACTGCACAACAAGAAAGCCTGGATACCTCATTAATTCAAGTGTCAGACCTGAACAAGTCCAACTCATCAGATAATACAAACTCTTATCCAACTCTTAATCCCTGCAACATTTTGGGTGGAGTTGATGATCAGGAAAGACCATTGCACATTGTCTGGCCTCACAGGTGGTAAGTTCAAGACATGTCAATTTAGTAAGAATTGTGGTAACAGAAAATATATTCTCCAAATTGATTTATTTAATTTGCTATTCCTGTGCCTTTAGAAAAAGATCATTTTAATGTGGTAGTGCAACTAAGGTGTTCCAAAAGTCATACTACTCAAACTCTTTATATTAATAGCTGTTTGCTTAGATAAATACAGGTAATTATTTGCAATAATTTCCTCAACTAACAGCAGAGGTTAGGTAGTTCTGGAAAATCAAATCTTGTTCCAAGAAGTTTCAAAATATAAGAAAGAATGTATTGCTCTGTATATTCTCAGCAACAAAAAAATAAAATAGATGAAAAATAAATATAAGAAAGAATGAATAGGATTCTATTTTATATTTATATACATATATGTATTTCAAAGTAATTTATATATACACATTGATAAGCAGTATTAAGGAGGAGCTCTGGTAGCATAGTGGCTAAAGCACTTGACTGCTAACCAGAAGGCTGGCGGTTCAAACCCACCAGCCACTCCTCGGAAGGAAGGTTGGGCAATCCTACTTCCGTAGTGATACTGCCTCGGAAACCCAAGGAGGGGTCGCTATGAGTTGGGGCCAACTCGACAGCACACAACAACAACAACAACAACAAGCAGTATTAACATTAAAACAAGAACAATTAGCATAATTTTCTAACTTGATCATTTTCAACTGGGTGCCTTCACTTTACTTGGCATAATGTATGTCCATATATTAGTAAATATTTTCCTTCTCCAAAATAGCTCAGTATTAGGCTAAGCAAAATACTCTCTAGAAGAATCTTTTCTGAGCCGAGGAAAACCCACTGCAGCATATAATCAGACCAAATATAAACTCACAAATTTAACCCAGCCTTCTATAAATTAGGATTTAAAGAGGTAAAATGTCCTGATCATCTTCTAGTATTAGGCATGAACACTTTAATCTAGTTTTCATTCCTCCCAGTTAGTTTAATCTGCATGCGGCCTGATTAGAGTCCACGTCCCCCACAGATTATGGGCTCTTTATTGCAGAGATGCTGGGCTGATCATTAGGCCCCATTTTCTGAGAACAACTGTTCGCAGGTGAAGTAATCAGCACACCGCCCGGCCAGGCAAAGCGCCTTTGCTGAGGATCTGACTTCCAGCACATTAAAACTCCTGAAGCTCTCCCAGATTATCGGCAGCATCTGGTACCTAAAGGGATTTTCATCTTTGACTCCAAATGTATGAATGTAAAATTTTAGGATTGGAAGTTGATGTGGAATGTATTTGGGATTTGTTTACTCAACTCCACACTTCCAACCTATCCTTTCTACAGTAGTAACGTTTATTTCAAATCATATCATATTTGACTTACTATGTGCCAGTGTTCAGTATTCTTTTATGTTCCCTTAAAATGTAGGAGAACTCTATGAGGTTAAGAGGAAAAAGAGATGCATCATTTATTCCCTTCTTAAAAGGCTTTTCTTTTATTCTGCTAATCCTTAGTTGTCTCTGAAGTAATATATACTGGAAGAAAATCAGCTCTAAGAAGTTTGGTTCTGGGTCATCCTGAAAATGCTAAATTAAATAATTTGTAGACTCCTATTGCAAAACAGCATAATGATATGGGGGGAAGAGTGAGAACCACATTATTCAGTACTTTGCACAAAATAAGACAGACCTATGTTAATAAAATTAACAATATTAAATTGAATAATTCTCTCTCTTCCTTTGTATATTTTTGCTTTAATTTAATTTAATTGCCTAAAGTTAGTTGCTTAAAGAGATGCAGCATTATGTTTGTGCACATTCTTATTGTTAAAGCTAAATTATTTTTAATTTGGAGAAGAGGGGGAAAAAAAGCCGCATCAGCAAGAGTAAATGCCAAAATATAAAAGTAACACATTCATCCTTACGGGTAATATAGTAGAACATTGGAAACTTGGAGGTTGCCAGACACATAGCTAACATTAGGGCTAATTTTGAAAATCTAGCGTGCAGTCAATTTTACTGATGCCTGGGGACATACAAGGTAGAAGCTGACAAGAGAACTAATTTTGTTTGGGTTATTTACTGCTATGCATCATCCGCGGGTTCCCGCCTGACACACAGCTATATGAAGGGGATATTATCACACACTAAAAATTTATGTTGACATTCGATATTTGTTCAATATGTCAGCAGTATTACTTCCATAATCAAAAGAGTAAGAAAAAAGAGAAAAGAAAAGCACTTTATGCTCATATAGATATATCTTTTTAATAACAGTCTATAAGGTTAATATAGTTTACCTTTGAGAGTATACAATGAAAACAAGCAGGGTTAGGAGGGGAAATGACAGAAAGCATCAACCCGAGCTGTTTGTTTGCCATTACCTAAGCGAGCCATGTCAGCTCTCTGGCCCGCGTCTGATAGCTATTTGTTGTACAGAGAGCACAGCATAAAAAAAATATCAAACTCTTAATACTATTGTGTGCCCATAACCATCTGTCACTGCTAGCCTGGAGATGAGAGGAAGATTACGAGGAATAAACACTGAGCCGCCGAGCATTGGTAAAGCCTTCGGGCAAAAAACTCTTGTGGGGACATCAAAGACATTCTAATTCCGAGGCAGTCAAGGATTACAGTGTGTAACCTGTGCTGACAACAGATAAATGACTGGCAATATTGTGCCAGAGCTGTTGGGTCCTGCATGGAGTACTGATGATGATGATGATGATGTTATCTTGCAGAATGGACTCTGCTGGGATAATTTTATGATAAAACACTTTTTTCAAATGCCACTGGGTCTAAGCAGACATTTACTAGCTACAGGGGTAGCAATCAGTTTCTTTAAAATTTACTGTTCTAAGCCCATTAGAGTTCCAACGCAGCAAGACTCTTCAATGAAAATCTGAAATGCCTATATTTTCTTTAGGAGAATATATGCAAATGTTGTAAGCTGAACTCCTACCCTTTAGTGGTAGATGTGTTATCATCTGATTTATGCAAATTTGCTCATAAAAATACAGTTTATTTTTAATTGGTGAATATGAATTAGAAAATTAAGATTCTAGTTCAGCATTCATCAAACATCCTCTTACAAACACACATTTATTTAGACCTCTGATTACATGGGTAGAAATCATATACTTGACCAGTCAATATGAATTGTATTGTAAAGGAAACCACAGTTTCTACTGGACATGACCAGATTTGTGTTTCTTATTGAACCCTCTTAGTTTGAGCCTCCACTTGTGCTTCAGATATTCTCATCAGTTTTAAGAAATACTGTAACTTCCTGCTTGAAAGGGTGTTTTCTTCAGAGTAGCATGAAAGAAACTCTTCGCTCTGTTGCATTTTTGCCTTGGCTATCTATGTGTGTTTTCCAGAAGGAGGTATTCTGGGACATGAGGATGCATTGACAATTTTTTCCTGTTAACATCAAGGAGAAATGGACACTGGAGAGGGCAACAGGGTTTTTAGATCCTGTCATTACCTTGCCTAGCAAAGCAAAAATAAAACCCTCCTCCTTATCATAAAAAATATCCTCATGAAATCATGCAGTTGCAGTAGCCAACACTAAAAATGAAGTGATGCTGACCTCATTGTGTTAGTTCCACGCTGGGATCATGAATGGTCTAAAATATAGTGTTAGCCTCTAACATATCTCATACTAAGTCAACCAAATGTAGAGCCTACTTGCTAGGAAATGTATCAAAATCAAAAGTGACATTTTTCTAGAAGATACATTCTGGCTTTAAATCTGTGTTAAAATGTCTGTGCATGAGAACAGGCCCTTAAATGCAATGCTTGCCCCCTCTCTTCATTCTTTCTGAATCTGAGCTTGTCAAGGATTATAGTGTGCAACCTCTGCTGACAGTAGATAAATAACTGACAGTATTTTAGCAGAGTTGCTGGGTTCTCTGCAGAGTAATTTGTTTTCTCCTTTCTACCCAGTCTTTAATGTTTTGTTATAAACATCTATAGCAAGACTTGGTTAATAGAAATGACTTAACAGCAAAAGATCTGTAAAAAATAGACTGCAATTGGCAGTGCTTTTTTTTTTTCTTTCCAAATATTATAACATTGTACCAATTTCCAACTTTTATGTAAATGTTCTCTTTATTATAATGGGCAAAAAATATATAATGTCAGAGGAGAGGAAGCCCAAGTTTATAAGACTTTTAAAGAAATGCACTATCATGGCTGTGGTTCTCAAACGTTTTGATCTCAAGAGTCCTTCACACTCTGAAAAATATTGGGAACACCAAAGAGCTTCGCTTTGTTGTTGTTGTTGTTAGGTGCTGTTGAGTTGGCTCCAACTTACAGCAACCCTACTACGTACAACAGGACAAAACATTGCCCAGTCCTGCACCATCCTCACAATCCTTGCTTTGCTTGGGCCCATGATTGTAGCCATTGTGTCAATCCATCTCGTTGAGGGTCTTCTCCTTCACTGATTGCTACTTTGTCAAGCATGATATCCTTCTCCAGCGAATGCTCCCTTTTGACAGCATGATCAAAGCAGGTGAGATGGAGTCTGGCTATTCTCACTTCTAAGGAATATTCTGGATATACTTCTTCCAGCACGGATTTGTTCATTCTTCTCACAGTCCATGGTACTTTCAGTATTCTTCACCAACACCACAATTCAACAAAACTCATTGTCATCGAGTTGATTCCTAATCATGGTAACCCCAAGTTGCCATCATTGTTCAAAAGTAGATTGCCTGGCCTTTCTTCCAGGATGTCTCTGGGTGTACTCAAACCTCCAGCTTTTAAGTTAGCGGCTGAGCATGTTAACCATTTGCACCACCAAGGACTCATCAATCAATATTTACTCTTTGACAACTTAAAACTGAGAACACTTTTAAAATATATATTAAATCTTTTAAAAATAACAATAGTGAACCAAGTATATGCTAACAAAAATCATATATTTTTATTAAAAATAACTATATTTTCCAAAACAAAAATATTAGTGAGAACAGTAACATTATTTTACATTTTATAAAATATCTGCTATCTGCCTAAA